CAGAAAATTGTCGGAGTTCAAAGTGTCGCATCCCAAGAGGTGGAGCTCTTACATTTTGTTCGTTGAGAACTACCTGAGAGCTAACCAAGTTAGTGAAGATGGCTTAAAGGCTGCAATGCTGCTGTGCATGTGCGGCCAGGTGACATTCGATATCACCAAAAACCTGGTCACACCAGCCATACTTGAATCAGTCACCTATGCTGAGCTCAAGAAAATGCTAAAGGATCATTTTGAACCAAAGCTCTCAGTCATTGCCTGGAGACATACCTTTGAACAAAGGGAGCCACAACCAGATGAGTCTGCCGCTGAGTTCATAGCTGCCCTATGACAGGCGTCCTGGCTCTGCAATTTCCAAGACCTCGAAGAAAGACTGAGAGACCATTTAGTTTGCAGGTTGAGGAACAGGGATCTTCAGCAGAAGTTGTTCGTGAAAGAGACTTTGATGTTCCAAGACACTCTAAAGGAAATCATGGCCGAAGAAGCTGCCGGGGGAGCTGTAAAAGCCTTACGGCCCTCCAAGAACACTCCCAGCCCAGAAACCATCCACCATGAGGAGACGTCCCCAACATGGAACACAAAATCGATCTGCTGCAGAAGCCATCAGCAAGAGTTCAACGGCCACTTACAAGGAAGTTCTCTTCACTCAATGTATGGGCTGTGGAAGCCGACATAGATGCTTGGAGTGCAGGTTCTGCACAGCAATGTGCTGGGCATGCGGCAAGCAAGGCCACATTGTCACCATCTGTAAAGGTTGCCAGAGGGACATTCCATAAGAAGAATTTCTCAGGAAAGGTACCAGGGCCCCGGGGCAACACAGAGTGGGGTTTTTGTGCCAGCAGAAGGAATGTGTTTAGAACAGGTGCCCATCGCCCCATGAAGGAGCAGCTGAGGCTCAAAGTCAAGCTTCATGGAGTCCCATGCAACATGGAACTAGACATGGGGTCAGCCCTATCTATAATTTCCCACTGAATTTTTAACCATATTTGCAGTTGCTGTGGCAAACGAGTCAAACTCAAGCCATTGAATCTCCTATTAACTGATTTCTAAAACTCCCTCATAGCAGTTAAAGGAGAAGCCACACTCAAAGTACAGTTCAAAGAGTTTGAGGGTCCCCTTGACGTTGTAGTTGTTGAAGGCAATCGCACAAGCCTCATCGGGCTAGACTGGTTTGATGCATTGAGCATCCACGTGACTGGCATACACAGAACGCAAGCAGTGGACCTGTCATCAGTTTGCCAAGAGTTTGCTGATGTGTTCAACCATGACTTAGGGAAGTACAAGGGTCCTCCAATTACCCTCCACCTCGATCCTACCATAACCCCAGTAAGGATCAAGCCTCTTAGAGTGCCGTTTGCCCTCAAACTCAAAATCAACACAGAGCTGGTGCAACAAGGTGCAACAAGGTGTGTTGCAGCCAGTAGACAGCAGTAGGTGGGAAAACCCCATAGTTACACCACTTAAGGCCAACAGGGAGGTGCGCATATGCACGGATTATAAGTGCACTATTAATAGAGCACTTCAACAACATTCATATCCAATGCCTATAGTCAGCCACATTTTGCCGTCAATACAGGGAGATCGCATATTTGCCAAATTGGATTTGGCTCAAGCCTACTAGCAACTGCCCATGGACAATGCCATGGCAGAAGCTCAAACTATAATTACTCACAGGGGAGCTTTCAGGGTGAAGCATCTACAATTCAATGTCGCCCCAGGATTTGAGCGTGTGATGGAGCGCACGCTCAAAGGTATTCCAGGCATGTGTCTGTATTTCAATGATGTCCTCATAGCTAGGGAGTCAGTAGAGAAATTGGCAGAATGGCTCAGGGCTGTCCTTCAGCATTTCCGTGAAGTGGGCCTGAAACTGAAAAAGGAGAAATGTAAAATTGGGGTAGCTTTGACCAAATTCCTCAGTTTCCACATAAATGCCGAAGGCATTCATCCTGCTGAATCCAAGCTTAAAGCAATTCAGCATATCAAAGGGGGACCTTCAAGCATTTTTGGGACTGCTCAATTTTTATCATGCCCTTCTACTACACAAGGGCAGTGGCAGAGCCATTACACCGGCTCTTGAACAAGAAGGCACAGTGGCAGTGGATGAACGTCCACGAGAGGAGTTTTTCAGCAATCAAATCACTGTTATCTTCAAACTCAGTATTGATGCATTTTAATGAAAACCTGCCTGTCTGCATTGCTTGTGATGCATCCCCGTATGGGGTGGGGGCTATGCTGAGTCATTTAAAGGCTGATGGAAGACAAATTCCAATAGCCTATTATTCAAGGACTCTGTCCTCGGTGGAATGTAACTACGCCCAAATAGATAAAGAGGCACTGGCCATTGTGGCTGGTATTAAGAAATTTCATGATTACTTGTATGGTCAGCCTTTCACGGTCTTTATGGACCATAAGCCATTCCTGGGTCTGTTCACAAAGGACAAACAAACACCTCAGATTCTCTCTCCAAGGATGCTGAGATGGTCCATTTTTCTTTCAGCTTATAATTACAATCTGATTCACAATCGAGGCTGGGAAATGGGCCACGCAGACAGCCTTAGCAAACTGCCATACTTAGAGCCAGACCCCACTCCAGCGGCTTGCATTCTGGCTATCCAGGATTTGCCGGTCTCCCCTGAATGCATTATATTTATTGAAGAGAAAGCTTCTCTTTATATTTATTTTTCTATTTTCCTATTAGGACTACAAACTGTTTCCTGTAACCCAAATGCTACATCTTTGGATTGCAAACTATATCTAGAAGGCAACTTGTTTTGCATTTAAGTTTTACTTCAGCACTAGCCACAAGGGGGACCAAAAGACTACATTTCAGAATTGAAATGTTTATAATTAATTTTTAAAAACAAATTTAAAAAGTTTTGGAAATTTTTGAATTTTTTATATATGACGTGCACTTTTGGATTTGTTCCATAAATATATTCATACAAATGAATAAAAGCCAAATTTAGCACAATATACTGAAAAAGAAAAGAAAATATCCAAGAAGAAACCAGCATGGATGCATAAAGAACTCTCTGATAAACTGAAAGTTAAAAAGACAGTGGAAAAAATGAAAAGAGGGGCACATAATTAAGGCAGAATAGTAGCATGTAACCCAATTTGAAAAGATGAAGTCAAGAAAGGTAAGATTCAGAATGAACTAAGACTTGCAACAAATGTCAAATATAACAAAAAAAGCTTCTTTCAGCATGTAAAAAACAAGAAAAAGTCAAGGAGACAATCGGTCAAGTAATAGGAGAAGAGGGAAAAGAGCTGATGGACAGCAGGAGAAAGCAGAACTGCTTAATTCATTCTTTGTATCTGTCTTTACAGAAAAGGAAAAAACAGTCCAACCTACCAAAAGAAGTATCATAAAAGACAGAGAAGGAATACAAGTCAAAATAGGCAATAAAATGGAAAGGCAACATCTATTCACTCTAGATCAGTGGTTCTCAACCTTTTTAATGCCACGACCCCCAATCGCTCGTAAGTCGAGGACTACTCAACCGGTTGTAAGTCGAGGACTACTCAACTGGTGCAGCACCATTTGAAGAATGGGACTTTTGGCGGGCTCAGCAGGGCAGAGACAGCCTGGACAATTCCTATTGGCTTTTGAAAGCCAATAGAATTAGACTCTATTCAAGAGAGTCTATTCTATTGGCTTTCAAAAGCCAATAGAATAAAAGGGAGTAGCACAGCTAAGGAAAAGGGGGAAAAAATGGGGGACTGCATTGTTTGGTGACCCCCGTGAAATGGTCATTCGACCCCAAATGGGGTCCCGACCCACAGGTTGAGAACCACTGCTCTAGATGACTTCAAATTACCAAGACCAGATGAATTACATCACAGAGTTCTGAAGGATCTGGCAGACATGATCTCAGAACCATGGATGTATGTCTTTCAAAGTTCCTGGAGCACCAGGGAACTACCAGAGAACTAGTAAGAAAATAGTAAGGTTTTATACTTAGGCAAGAAAACCCAAATGCACAGGTATAGAATAGGTGGTATGTGGCCCAACAGCAGTAACTGTGAGAGGGATCTAGGAGTTCTAGTGAACAACCTCTTAAATATGAAGCCGTACCCACCCCATTGCCGGCAATGGCAAAACCATCCGATATGTTGCACGACGTCACATGATGTTGCGAGTTTGACATGTCTACTCTAGAGATTCTGGGTGCTCCATCAGTAGAGGCTGATAAGAAGAGATTGGATAGCCTTTGTCCAGAAATGTATAGGGTCTCCTGCCTAAGCAGGGGGTTAGACTAGAAGAGCTCTAAGGTCTCTTCCAGTTTTGTTATTCTATATTTTGTTCTGTATTCTTAGTGCTTCCAAATAAGAGGAAGCAAAGGTCAGGAAGGCAAGTAGCACATCAGACTTGTTTGTATATGCTATGGGTGACTAATACATTCTGGTCATGAAAGCAGATCTCCATCTAGCTTGTTGACTTTTAAAATTTGATCCATTTGTTTAATAGGAAGCTATTTAGTGTAATTACTTTGCCATTAGTTGCTCTTGCATACATATTACGCACTGGAAGACTCTGCCATTGAAAAAAAAACTATGCAAATCAACCAGTCTGTGAGAAAGTTAACCTCTTTAATGTGCTATTGCAGCTCAGCGTATCCAGTTGGCTTGCAACAACACAGGTTCATGTTGTATCTCAAGCAGATGAAAATCAATAGCTCCTGTTTGCATTTATAAGTTCCTACATTTAGCATTATGGTGTAAAACTGTGCAGGAGCTGCAATTTGGAGATTAGTTTCACAAGCAATCTGGTCAAATCCCCCAACTGAATTGATTTTATAAATCAGAATGATAATTCAGATCATATAGTTAAATAGAATCATGTACTTCCAAATCAATTTGACAATTTGAAAAATCAATTCATTTTTATGATTAATTCAAAATGTAAAAGGACAGCAGACCAACTATCACACATAAATCAAGTAATCTATTTGTGGAAGCTATGTAAACCAATCCATGCAATGCAAAAGAATACGCTCTAGTTTGCTGCTAAAAATATTTATTACAAAGAAACAGACATTTAAAAATGATCAGGAGCCATCTAGCAATTCAAAGCAAAAACAGGATATCATAATCACACATATTTCTATAAGAATGGGCAAGTGCCATTGGAAAATGGGCATTCAGACTGATTGATCAGTAGTTTAAACATGATCTATAAAATATTTCAAGGGCCAGTATGCTTTTTTCTGCTATATCTTACAATATTGAATGCCATAATGAAAAAAGCAACATAGGAAATATATTTTACTAGCTTTTTAAACATTAAACATTACAAGGAAACTCAATTAAAAAGTATCTTTTAAGCCTACAATATTCTAAAGATAAAAATTTTAAAGTAGACTTAAAATGGTGGGAAATTAATTGATTCCTTACAAATTCTGATGGTAAAAATAAAGGTGCCTTGGAATCTACTAAAAAGTGGCACAGCAAGCAAATGGAGTCTAGGAACTGGCCATATCTGGCAATGAAATAATTTCTTGGGTGATTCTTTAATGCATAATTATGAATACAGACGGGTCTCAGTAAAATAATGCAAAGTGTGATAGCTTCCAGCAAACCTAGATGTGTCTTTTCTGCCGCAATAAATTTGCAAAGGTAAAGTGACAGATGGCACATAACCATAACCCATTAAAAAATGATCATCCTGGAACCACAAACATCCAATATCGTCTTGATTTTTGTGATCTGGGGAGAAAACGAAAATGATACAGTTACAATGTTCAAGACAGTTCAATATTTCCAGGAAGTTATTGTAACTTAAAATAAGTTTAAAATCTATTTGTGTTCTGTTTTATATTGTAGACACCAAAAATATAGACAATTCATTCAGAAGTGATGAATATTCTACATAGGTTGCATTTAGAAAAAAAGAAAGAAACCATGAGCATCCAGTATTATTCAGACCACTCTTCAATGTCACATATAATTTAGGGAGAAAAACATATTTATCTTTTCTGAAATTTAAGAAACCAAAACATGTTCTTTGAATATTATTCTCTAAAATAATTAAAGATTTCAGAGTGTTCAGATTAAAGCATGTAGACATAAATCTATACTTCTTCCTCCCTCTGTCCCACCTCAGCATTTTCTTGATTTTTTTAAAAAAAATATTAATTTATCAGAATTGTTGTTGTTGTTAATTGCGAAGTCATGTCCGACCCATCGCGACCCCATGGACAACGTTCCTCCAGGTCTTCCTGTCCTCTACCATCTTCTGGAGTCCATTTAAGTTCACACCTACTGCTTCAGTGACTCCATCCAGCCATCTCATTCTCTGTCGTCCCGTTCTTCTATTGCCCTCAATCTTTCCCAGCATTAGGCCCTTCTCCAGTGAGTCCTTCCTTCTCATTAGGTGGCCAAAGTATTTGAGTTTCAACTTCAGGATCTGGCCTTCTAAAGAGCAGTCGGGGTTGATCTCTTCTAGGACTGACCGGTTTGAACGCCTTGCAGTCCAAGGGACTCGCAGGAGTCTTCTCCAGCACCATAGTTCAAAGGCCTCAATTCTTTTGCGCTCAGCCTTTCTTATGGTCCAACTTTCACAGCCATACATTGCAACTGGGAAAACCATGGCCTGGACTATACGCACTTTTGTTGGCAGGGTGATGTCTCTGCTTTTTAGGATGCTGTCTAGATTTGCCATAGCTTTCCTCCCCAGGAGCAAGCGTCTTTTAATTTCTTGGCTGCAGTCCCCATCTGAGGTGCTCTTGGAGCCCAGAAAAATAAAATCTGTCACTACCTCCATTTCTTTACTTCACTACCTCCATTTATCAGAATATAAAATACAAAGAAAATGAAAATAATGGGAAACCAGGAGAGGAGAAAAGGAGAAAACATGAAGTAGAATGGCGGAAAAAATCCTATGAAGATGGCCATCCTAAGAAGGCTTATCTCTTTTTAAGTTTACTAATGGAAGAAAAAGACATTGGTTTATATTATTATCCTGGGTTAGGGAGATCCTCCATACAGCAGCAGTCTTCAGGAAGCCTCAGGAGCTGTGCTTTTGATAAGTTCATGAGTTGCTCAGCTAAAGGAAGAGGCTGCAATCATTTCATTGTTGAAAAAGCCGCCATTTTGGAATTTATTTTTCAGATGGACAATAAGCCAAGAATTTAACTTCTTAGTCATTTAATGGGGTTATTCTCTTCACTAGCTAAAAGAGGTTCTTTTTCAATATGAAGATTTGTGCCATTTTTGGGACTCCTTTATTGTTAAATGATAAGGAAAAGAATTGCTGCAGGCAAACTAAAAAAAAACCATGGAAAATCTGTTTTTAAACTTTGATGATAAACTGTTATGAAGATGGTTTAAATACAACTCTCCAGGAGAAGAGCTCCAAGCAAATCTATAATTCTCAAGAGGACAAGTTTGGGGTTTTAATTCATAGATACTAAGAAGGTTGAGAATTCTTTGAGAAAATGAGACTTCATAGACATTCAAGAGAAAAAGATATTTTCTATCAGGATAAGCTGCAGGGAGTGACTTAAATTTAACTAGTTAATTGGAGTTAGGATGGATTTCTGCAAGTCTGATATATGTACTTGAAAGAAAGCTTTAATGTAATCTTTAGTTTATAAAAGTGAGTTTGAATTTTTTTTCATATACAGTGCTTGAGTAATTCCTAAAGCTTGTAAAATATTATTGAAAGTAAATTTGAATATATTAATTTTAAAAGAAAATAAAAAAGATGCATTAGAATTTAGAATTCGTTGATTTTAGAAATATTTTTAAAGAAAAAAATAGAGTTTTAAAATAAATGTTAAAAAATGTTTTTCCCCTTTAAGGTTAAAGAATCTGAAACGGTATAGTGAATGATGTTAACATCAATGATGATAGTCTATAAAGATTAATAAGTGTAAACAGAAACATATATTATTTCCCATACCAAGAAAAAAGAATGATTTAAATTCTGTGTTATTCACAGAAAAGAATATATCTAATTTTGTTTCCATTTGGAAACTGCTTCTGGATTTTGTGTTTGTGATAGAAAAAAAATAAACTTTGAGTTTGGTTTTGCTAATTAGATAAGTCTGTTGTTATAGAAAAGGCTAGTATGTGTTATTGTGTAAAAGTAAAAAGTTGAGGTTGTAATGTTATTATTTTCTATTGTGCTAAAAAGAAGTCAATACCTACCTTGGAAAAAAATATATTGTTTTCCACAGGCAGAATCGTGGACATTCCCTCACCAGTATTTGCATCGTTATCCAACCATCACTGCAGAAGTATTAAGCAAGGTCACCATGATGCAAAGTACAAATTGGGCACAACATAATGGTTTTATAAAGCAGGGGTACCAGTTGCAATTTTTTTGTATTTTTTATTTTTTAAGGCAAATAAGTGTACTTGCATGTGCTGGAAGTGAATGTAATCTTTAATAAATTTTGAATATCTAAAAAATAAAATAATTGGATGGCACTAAATGGAATTCTGCTCAGGGCATGGCAATGCTATAAATTGCACTTCTTGTACAAATGTCAAGAGATGTTTCAAATTGCTATGGCCTCAAACAGAATCTGAATTATATTTCTGCTATTATGTAGGACAAGAACTGGCCTGTGAATAGACATGAAAAATGCAGGTAAATATTTGTAGTATGTTCTGGGCTAAGCTGATCAGATGCATAAATTACTATTTAGTGTTTTCATCAGCTGCAATCTTGAGGAGTTTTGGTATCTGCAAAAGAAGACTAGAAACTTGAACAAGCAAGCAGTTACCCATATATGAAGAAAGAATTGTAGGAGAATATTAGAAAAGTTCCAATAGGACAGTGGTTCTCAACCTTTTTAATGCCAGGACCCCCAACCAGTCGTAAGTCGAGGACTACTCAACCGGTCGTAAGTCGAGGACAACTCAACTGGTACAGCACCATTTGCAGAATGGGACTTTTGGCGGGCTCAGCAGGGCAGAGACAGCCTGGACAATTCCTATTGGCTTTTGAAAGCCAATAGAATTAGACTCTATTCAAGAGAGTTCTATTGGCTTTCAAAAGCCAATAGAATAAAAGGGAGTAGCACAGCTAAGGAAAAGGGGAAAAAATGGCAGACTGCATTGTTTGGCGATTCCCGTGAAATGGTCATTCGACCCCAAATGGGGTCCCGACCCACAGGTTGAGAACCACTGCAATAGGATATATCTATTTTTAAGACTCTATAATCATCTGAAAAAATTTCCACGACCAGATCCTTTTCCCACCTAACCTTAGTATCTCAAGCATTTTGTCCCCATTTTTACATTTTTGTCCTACCTGAGGAATTACACATATTGTCTGACAGGTCTTCCTGGTCTATAGTCCTAGAAGGAATGGTAGATGGTCAGTTCTGTAATATACATAGATACAGTTTAACTGTTTTCAAAGGAAAAAAGAAACATAATAGGTTATCAAATGGCATATAGCCTGGATACCTACAGGATCACACTTTTCTCCTGTAACTGTCCAGCCATTAAAATTTGATAAAGTTGGCAAACTCCAAATCCCAGATATAGAACAGTGTCACCTTGCAGGACCTAAGAGATGGCCTTCCCCTGCAGCTGCATCCACTCTGCAAAACAGCATTCTTCCTATACAGCCTTGACTCTACTGCAGTTTCATACATCTTTAAGGACCTTTTTCTTCTGCCAGGCCTTAGGACAAAGTGCTTCATAATCTACTCTCTAGTATTGGATTTATATTACAAAATGAATAACTGGATTCTTTTTTATTATTGCTTTTCTCTGATTTGCCATTGGTATCATTAATTATTATTTATATTATTAAATTGTTGATTTTAAATCTAACATGTAAGATGTTTAAAGTTGCCTAGAACTGACATACAAGTTGATTAAACAAATAAAGAGCTATCCTAGATTTCTAACCAAATAGGATAATGATATCAATAAATTAAGGATTTACTTCCATCCAAGTCAGAGATACCTTTTTCTTCTCTTTTAGTTTACAATAATCACTATGGCACGTTTATTTTCCTACATTACATAGATATTATTCCTAGGTATGTCAACTAAAAATTTGTACCCAGATATTTTAAGGGACTTCCATTTTCTAATTTCTGATTCTTAATACAGCAACTTCTGATTTATCTTACTTGTATCAGCACAATAGCTCCATTGACGGTCTGTGTCATAGTTCCTTGTGACAGAACACCAAAATCTTCCATTGTCTGAATTTTGATTGGTGCAAGAATTGAATGTTTTCCCATTGTAGATGAATGGAAAGAAACAGCGCTTGCCTTTAGAGTTACCTTCATATTCTGTAGACATTGAAAACAGAAAAATAAAAAAGGAGGTAGCCTTTGTACTGGGATGAACTTTAATCTTATCCATAAACATTTCAGTTCCCTGAAATCCTATTCTTTGTCCTATCAAGGACTGAAGGTCTAGGACCTCAAACTCCATTTTTCCAAGCTACTTCTTTAATCTCTCTTCTTGCAAAATAGTGTATTTCCTGCGCTCTCCCCCCACACACACACACATTGTTTTTCTGGCCCAATTCTTTGGATACTTAGAAAAAAGATTTTGAATCATAGGTGAAGATTAAATGAATCTATTCAACAAAAAATGATAATTATAAAGAGCTGTAAAAAAGAAATTAAATGGATATTTTGACTATAACCCAAATAAAGGGACGAATTTAATGACTGCTTGAGATGCCAGTCATCTGGGGCCCATTTTATACAACATAATTGTCTAGAGAAGAAAAGTGTCAGTGGGAAAAGATAAAATCAAGAACTTATATGAAAATACCAGCATGGATTTCAACAATGGAGGCGTTTGTACACCCAAACTTAATTAATTATGAGAAACTTGTGACTTATAAAGATATCTTGAATACTGATGGGAAACTACAAACTAAACAAGAATTGGAAGAATAGGGCATTGAGCTAGCATGGTGGCCACATCTGCAAATGCAAATGAGATATGAGAAAGATGCAAAAATATATGGTTTTTACAAAGACCAGACAGTGTTAGACCAGATACTATTGTCATCAGATGACAAATTGATTAAGAAACTGTACAGCTTTCTGTTAAATTTAAAGATGGAAGATGAACTAGTTAAAGAAACACTGATAACTTGGGCAAAAACCTTTGGGCACAATGTAGAGTTAGAAAAATGGCAAACCTTATGGGAAAAAATCTATAAAATAACAAGGGCAGCTACTTATAAAGAAAATTTATATAAAATGTTCTCTAGATCAGCAGTTCTCAACGTTTGTGTGACGGCGACCCCCGTCACACAAACATTATGCGCATGTGCAGCGCGGGGCCCCCCATGTGCGGTGCGCATGCGCAGCGCCCCATGCGCGGCGTGCATGCGCGGGGCTGCCCCATGTGTGGCATGCATGCGTGGGGGGCTGCCCCATGCGCAGCGCGCATGCGTGGGGGCTGCCCCCATGCGTGGCGCGCATGCGCGGCGCCACCCCTGGAGGGGAGAAAATGGCGGATCGCCGCCTTTGGCGACCCCCCAAAAATGGTCAATCGACCCCAAATGGAGTCGCGACCCATAGGTTGAGAACCGCTGCTCTAGATGGCATTTACCACCTGCAAGACTAGCAACAATGCTTTAAATTATGTCTAGCAATTGTTGGAAATAAAGACAAAATCCAGGCACATATAATCATCTTTGGTGGACATGCCCTAGAGCCAGTGGTGGGATTCAACCGGTTTGCACCACTTCAGCAGAACCGGTAGCTAATTTTTTGTGCCCAGGCCCAGAATGGAATTCCGGAAGCAGCATCCACACAGAGAACTGGTTGTTCACATATTTGAATCCCACCACTGCCTAAAGCAAAGAACTATTGGTCAAAAATACATAGATGGGTAGAAAAGATGATAGGAGCACATATAGACTATAAACCGGAATTATTTCTTTTAGGTATAATTTCAGAAAATTATGATAAAAATGTGTATACTTAATATTACATATATTAACAGCAGTGAGAATTACATTTGTTCAATACTGAAAAAAATGAAGAAACACCATCTGAAGAAGACATAGTTAAGAAAATTTTGGACTGTGCAGGAATGGATAGGCTCACATTGAAAGTGAAGGGGAAACAAGATTCAGAATACTTTCAAACATTGGAAATTTTTTTATAAATGGTTAAACAAATGGAATAAAGGGTAGGAATTGAAATTGTATGATATTAATGTCAAACATATAAACCCAGACAACATCTTGCTTACTAGATACTAAAGATTGTTACTATAAAAATCAATAAAATATACATTAAAAAAGAAGTGTCAGAAAAAATATTGTATGAAATTTGAAAGAAAAAAATTGAATCATAAAGATGCTAATGAACTTTAAAATTTTACATCAAGTTAAACTGTTATGTCAACAGTTGTCCATGTTAACACTTCAGGAAATAGAAACTAAACTGAAATTATGTGAAACAAAAACACTTTTAGTTTCTAATAAACCAGGAAGATGGCTGGCATATAAATTAAGAAACGAAAGACAAAATAAGTATGATAATGAAAATCCATGAAGGCCACAAGATAATAACAGATAATAATCTCATTATAAAGCCCTTTCACAAGTTCTACTGCAACCATTACAGGAAGCAGGAACTTGACATACAAGAAATAGATTATTATCTGCAGAGACAACACTTACCTAAACTTTCACAAGCTCAGAGACATCTTACGAGTGAGGACCGTTATAAAGACTGAAGCTGATAAATCAGGAGTCAAAGAGCCTCAGACCATAAGATGTATGGAATATGTCTTCTCCACATTCCAGTTCCCTGCAAAACTCTTATCTAACCATGGTGAGTCCTTGAAGATTCTACAAATCAACCTCAATTTACAACCATTCATGTAATAACTGTTTGAAATTATAATGGCACTGAAAAGTAATGACTTACAAAGGTCCATGTACTTATGACTATCATATCATCCCTAAATTTGGGCGCTTAACAACCAGTATGTATTTATGATAGTTGCAGCATCTCTGGATCATATGATCAGTATTTACAACCTTCCCAGCTGATTTCTGACAAGATCAGTAAATCAAAACTCACAATCACATAATTTCATGTCTAACAAGCACGGGTGATTGATAGTCAGTTAGGACAAGCTGACAAACAAAAGCCTATGACATGTGATCCTGATTCACAAACAGCATGCATTTATAATGATTGCAGTGTCCCACTGTGACATGGTTGCTAATTGCAAGCTTCACAAATGGCTTCCAACAAGCAGAATCAATGGAGAAATTGGCACTAAGTTGAAAATCATAGTCTCATGATGTCATGCATAACAACCACATACAATTCACTTAACAACCAAACCAGAACTGCTATAAATCCAGCATGTGATCTTTCACTTAATTACCACATCACTTAGCAACAGAGTTTGGCCCCTATTACAGTTTTTAACTGGGGACTACCTGTATTTCCTTCTCAGATGCCTTGTCAGAATGTGCAATATATAGGTAATGCTCATATCCTATTTTATTTATTTTGCTGCTGCTGCTGTAAAGAAGAGTGGGACTCTGTCCTTTATTGTGCTACTTGTCTGAAAACTGAACAGAATGAAAACAAATTGGGCATGGGAACAGAAGGCAGCAAAAGAAAGATCAAATCTAAAACAGATTGGATGAAGCACGGCAGCAGAAAAATAAATAAATTTGAACTCTCCCTGGAGGAATTCCTATGGTAGAAACAGTTGAGGAGAAGCTTAAAATATGGTTGGTTGCTCCTGTCTAAGCCTCATCCTTCATCATGTAACCCAGCTTGGATCACACATAGCCCACCTTATATTTTCCTAATTCACATATGCACAGAAACATGTGACCACTGCAGTAAAAGAGTTGGAAGAATTCCACAAGCCATGCTCTGCATCCTTTCTCTACAGTTTTTTTTTTAAACACTGGGATTTTTACCTCACCATCCACAATATTTGTTGTTTACTCCATTTCAATTAATCTTATTGCTGTCCCTCACCAAGAATGCATCTTTCACTCCAGTGTTTTCATTTTCCCTATTTTTTTTTTTTTCGTTTCCACTTTCACATCCATCCACTGCAAATATTTCATTTGACTCACACGGACCTGTTTTCCCGTCCTTAATCTGGACTTCATTTTTATCTGTAATTGAAGATCTTGATTTGTACATCTCATGTTACATGAAAATTCCCCTCTGACAGGACATTTATTTATTCCATTGAAATATCATTGCAGCCATTCAGAGTCCCTGGATTTTGAGGGGGAAAGGGAAAAACAGGTGCCTATACCACATTGTAGTTTCTCCTACCTTCAGTGGCACATGCCCTCCATTTACCGTTGCTGTCATAGTTTGCAGTTGTGGCACACCATAATTGGCCATCATAAGCACCATCTTTTGTGCAATAAAGGTAAATTTTGTTGTTGAATCTGAAGGGAAACTTGCAAGGAAGGTGTTCTGAAAAGGAAATATAATGGGGGAAAGAATTAAGCAGGACTCCTAAAATAAGTTCTATGGACTAAGCTCACTTTCATTCAATTATTTCCCCCTTGCCTTCCAAGTTTATTCCCACCTGCCATTACTTCTTCCCAAATCCTCCAACAAAGGAATAACTTAATAGTTGAAGATTAATTCCTACAATCGCAAAAGGTTATCAGATAGCATTCTGAGGGCATTTTGAGAGAAACACTTTTTTTCCTTGATGAACTCATTGCCACTGATTGCTCCACAGCTGCTGAGTGTCTCCTCACTCACAATCCTAATAGGGATGGACAGGGCTTAAATCAAAAGTCAAAAAGGTGTTTTAGAGCAGACCTAGGCATGCAGACTGTATATGGCTGTATGCCTGCATTTCTTTAACCCTAAACATGCATTTTCCTCGTATTCCAGGGAAATCTGCAGTTTCTTACTTATTTCGAAGCACATTATCAACTTTGGATCCAAAGCACTGCACTTCCTTATGTCATGATACCTTTGTGAGCTTCACACTATTAAAGATATCATCAGATTGGCCCAGCAAGTACTTTCAATTTAAATAGTTATAATTTGATTTTAATTTGAAATATTAAAACTATTTTTTTTCAATTCAATTGGTTATTTGCCCAATGGCTCCTACTAATCCTTCCCTATGTAAAGGTGGGCTGAGAAAATAAAAATGTATAAACATATAATACAAATGCAAGCTAAAGTACTATCTAATCACAGTCTTTTCTGTACAATAACACATAATTTTTCCTTCCATAGGAATTTATGGATCAATCTTCTGTTATCTGACCTTCAGTTGCCCTTCTGCTTTCACCTTCAACTACAACTGTCAACTATTAGACATCTTCTTTCTGCTTCAAATGGCCCAAGTAAATTGTTTACTTAGTGACTTTTTTCAATGCACTTCTACCACTTCTCATTAGAGGTGTGTTAAACTGAACAGGTAGCAGCTCTTGGCCAACCATGAAAACCTAAACAGATCACTTCTGGCTATCACTGGTGATGGAGGTCAATAAGAAATCTCATGCTTATAGAGAATTAGAAAACATATCCCTGAATGGCAAATCAGTTCTAGTTTGTTGCCCAAAAACCCAACATGGATATGTTTTTGTAGTCCTCAAGAATCAATTTCTAAGACAAAAATGACTTTATTTACTCTTGTATTGTCTTACTTCAGATATATAACATCTTTCTATGCTTTGTTCATCAATGTTATTCCCAGTACACTCCTCAGAGGTAAATTGGATTGATAAATGGTAATTGGTAGAAATTGGTCCCCAGAGTTTTTGCAACTTAGTATGGATTTGTACATGATTCTCCTCTCTTCCAGTCTAATAATTAGCAGAACTAGATAACAGGAATGTCCAAAGTATTTCCTTCTATCATGAGTTTTTCCATACCTGAGGGTGTACAGTAAGTCCATTTCGGGTGTGCATCATAGTTTCTGCTTAAAGAACACCAGAGCTTTCCCACAGAAGACCCAGCTTTTGTGCAAGCTGAGTAGGATTGTCCCTTGTAGATAAAGGGAAACACACATGGTCCCTGTGAATTTGCAGCTAGTCCTGAACAGCGTTGAAAATATGAGTAAGAGAGTCAGTAATCACTATTGAGTTCAGCATTTAAGCTAATGTATTTTTGGCTCAACTGCAGTATGTCATAAATTATACTAAAAACAAGTCTTTCTATTTGAAAAGGTGAACCACATTACTTAATCTCATATGACTGTTCAAATTGGAGATACTACTATAATAAACTAGAATTGGGCATTTTATGGCCCCCAATCATATTCATCTCTTTGGCTGTCCCTTTAGGCCTGTGTGAAGTCAATTGGAAATTAAAAATCAAATGTAAATACAGTAAGTGCTCTGCAGGGGCAGGAAAAGAAGCCCATATTAGGCTCTGCACAGTGATCAGGTGCTCTGTCTCTTGGCTGGCAGTCACAGGAAGGCAAGGAGAGAAAGCCTTTTTCTGCACCTGCACAGTGCTCAGCCTTTACCTGGAGCAACCTGAAAAGGCAGCAGTGGTCATCATATGAAGGGACTTGGGCTCAACAAAGCACAGACTTGCAGGTGAGTGGGTAGAGTTCAGTCAGGAGTTATTGGTTTGACAGTCCACAGCAGCCCCAGTTCCTCAATGCTCTTTGGGGAAATTAATTGTCCACCCCTAATTCAACCATTATTTTACATTGAACATTATCAGCTTCCATGACCATTAACCTATTTCTCAAGATTTAAGGGACTGAATCAAGGACCTTGGTTATATGCTCTGCCTCTAAACTATATAGTATCATTTCTCTCTTCCTCCAAAATGTATTCATTTCTGCACCACTCTCAACTTTATTTATCCATTTTTTATCAATTAAAAGGTCTTCTTACTTTCCTTTATGTACAAGTAGCCTAGACATACCAAATACACCAAATAAGCTAACACCACACAGTTATCTTACTGGTATCAGCACAGTAGCTCCATTGTTCATTCTTATCATAACTTCCAGTTGTTGCACACCAGAATCTTCCTATTTCTGCATCTTCATTCGTGCAAGTATAATATGTACGTTTCTTGTACGTAAAGGGGAACACACATTGTTTTCCACCAGAATTACCACTGTACTCTAAGCATAAGAGAAAGCAGTAAAATGTATTATTTTAACAGTGCTCTGTATAGTATTTCAGATTTTACTTTCATATTATTGAGCCCCTTTGTCATATGTGCATTTGAAGAGTCATACATCTTATGAGCCATGGTGGCGCAGTGGTTAGAATGCAGTATTGCAGGCTAGTTCAATTCTCATCAGCTCCGTCCTTCTAAAATCAGTAAAATGAGGACCCGGATTGTTGGGGGTAATATGTAAACTGCTTAGAGACTGTAAAGTAGTATATAAGTCTAAGTGCTATTGCTATTATGTTTCAAGCACAATGTTTAAAAACAAGTATCCAGTTTCCAAAATAGACTGAAAATTGAATGTTGCTTTGGAATAGTCTTATCCTAATGTGGGTTCAGGGTTATGGAAGAAATTTCTCTGCCCATCTAGCAAACCAATTTCCTTGGTTTCTAGAAATAGTAAAAGAGACTATCATAAAACAGGATTTATAAATAAGAGATTCACAAGGAGTGAGTTCACATATCATGATAAACCAGAAAAGTTATTATGATGTAGCCAAACCACAGGCACTTTTATAAAATACATAAATTCTTTTTTGACAATTTGAGACACAGAACCCATTTCTGGGACAGGGATTAAATGGCTTGTCATTTCAACTAGATCTTTTTAGTCTTGTATAATTAAACTGCACATTGATGAGTAGTTGCATTGTTGTTGTGGAGCTAGGTTAAGCTTACAAAAGTGCAGACAAACATCCTACAATGCTTGTTTTAATTATATATTAGTTTAGGCCAAGAAACATTATAAAAGGAATCAGGATAATTGTTATATTTCCTAACCCTACTTAGTAATGTAGCTCAGAAATGTAAATATGTCAAACCTTTAGTAGCACAATACTTCCATTGTGGAGATTTCTCATAGTTTGCAGTGGTAGCACACCATGGGCGATTCTGGCTTGCAACTTCAGTGCAAGAATTGTAGGATTTTCCTTTGTAAATAAATGGGAAGACACAGGGAGGAGGGACTAAAATGGAAAAAGAAGACAATATCAGAATTTAAGAAATTCCCTGCTAAGCATTCATTCCTTGATTTAGAAGTAGGAAATGAGTCATGCAACAGAACTAAACACTATTTAAATTATCTAAATAAACACTCCCTGAAAATCAGTCTCCTAAAACAAAGATCAATGATATTCTATCCCAGGTGAAAAGAATCAACACATTTTCCTTACCTGCTGCAAGGAGTGATTGAAGAAGAGTACTGAATAAAATAAATGCTGTGATTGTGGCCATTTTCTCTCTAAATGCACCTGACAGCCCTGGAGAGGGATGTCACAGCCCAACACTGGGTCCTTCAAGACTGTGTGTTGAAACCAAATTGAACACACTAAGACAAAGATTGAAGCAATATTTCTTTATTCTGTGCAGGACACAGGGAGATTTCCCTAAAAGCCTGTGGGTTATTGTTGAATTCAGCCAACTCTTTTATACTCCCAAACCACAAAACACACAATCCTGAAATTTCCTTTGCCTTATATGGCTAAAAACTCCTACAGGAGTTACAAATATATCTATGTACATAACTGACCACAGGTTTTCACAATGTAACTCTTTCAGCAAGCTCTATGCTCTATATATTTAGTTTAGAAATAATTGAGAATATTTGCAACATCTGCAATTCTATGATTTTCACTTCCTCCTGTGCAACTTGTCTTAAAATATATTTGAGAATTGGAAAAAAAAAACATTTCAAGCCTCTGGCCTTCTACTTAGCCAAACTATAAAACACATGGAGTTATTTTATTTCAGCAAAGTTGATAAATATGCTTTTTTTATCTAGATGTCCATCTTTTTCTATTTTTTCTTATCAAGAGTACCAAGCTTTTATATAGTCCATAAAGCATCTCAGTGGTCATCAATTGTTGATATTTGCATGATCATCAAGAACAGAATAGGTGCTTCATAAACATTTTTATGAAGTGAGATAAAGGGAATTTGGATTACCTGAAAATCAAATACTATGGATATTAAAGGTCAAACTGGAGTACTGTAATTAAAAACTAAAAATTAGGTAAAACTTAATAACAGGATACAGATTATTTATGAAGATCTATTAAGATATGTATAAGCAAAAAATGTATTGATAAATGTGAGGATGAAGTTTTCACTGAGTTTGATACAATTAGAAATTTACTAGCTTAAATGCGATATAGTAAATGTTAAGGGAAATAGAGAAGAAACATTTGATGATGTAACCTGAGATATGTACTAAAGATTTTGTTACTGAACTATTGATTAACCCAATCACCATGTTGCTTTCTAAATACTTAAATGTAAAATTGGGAAGAAGAAAAAAGATCAGAATAGGTGCTTTGGCAACTATTTATTTCTTCCAACACCATCAGTTCCTCCGAAATTTATTCAAGGTGGTATGAGGGGTCCTCGATGCTCTCTGAGCTTGGTTGTTTTCTTGCAGAGGTTTCATTACCCAAGCTAAGTAATATTGTCAGTGTTAATCCTGATGATTTTGATGAGAAATTCCCTTCACTCCAATAAAAAAAATATAATTTAATCCAACAAAATACATTAGCCAATACAGGGAGAAAAAATCCAATGCAAAGAAAATCAGTCTGACTCAGACCAAGCTAAACAACCTCAGGCAAACAAACAATTTAAGTGTTAGCTTAAACATTTAAAATAAACTAAAATGCTGGAATCAACAATTAAGACTGACAGGATTAGAACAAGGACACAAAAAGAACATAATAATTTTTTATTTTTGTAAAAAATTTTATTTTCAACTTTACAATACATAACAATCTTACAAATACTTCAGATAAAAAATAAAACAAATTGATACACACCACATTCAGTCTTGCCCACCCATTTCCCCCCAAACCGCATCCCACCTCAAACCAACTTACTTCTTTCCCTCTTTTTCTTCACTCACCCCCTCTCCTCCTTCACTTCCACCTTCCTACTTACTTCTCACCTTCTTCTTCTCCCTCTTGATGTGGTCCAGGGGAAATGCCCGAGCAGTTCCTCTCTCAAAATTAAAACATTAATATTATATACAATAAGACTATTTCTACTTTATCTGAACTACTTAAACTTCAACCCATCCATAATACTTCTTTCAAACTCAAAGTAAAGCATATCTTAAAATATGTGACTTAAAGACCAAATCTACTTTCTTATCAAAAATTAAATATGCATGCCAACCATATAATAAATCCCACCCTTCAAGAACAAGAATATCTCTATTTGTTAAATTGAGCCAGTCACTTACTAAAGTTAAAGTGGCTGCATCATAATATAATTTCAAATTTGGTGCTTTAAGTCCACCTCTTTCTCGAGCATCTTGTAAAATCTTAAACTTTACCCTTGATTTCTTCCCGCCCCAAATAAATTTATTAATACCCTTCTGCCACTCATCCAAATTAGCATCCTTCTTTAAAATGGGTATCATCTGAAACAAAAAAAGAAACTTTGGTAGAACATTCATCTTCACTACTGAAATTCTCCCCAATAACGATAGTTGTAGCTTTTGCCAATCATTTAATTCTTTTTGAACTTTAACCCATAAGCGCTCATAATTATTCTTATACAATTTTCCATTAGATGTTGTAATATAAACTCCTAAATACTTAACCTTATTAACTATTTCATAACCGGTTGTTTCAGCTATAAAATCTTTTCCCTTCCTAGACATATTTTTCAATAATATTTTAGTTTTATTCTTATTTACCTTAAAACCAGAGACCTGTCCATACTGTGCTAAAATTTCAACCAAATCTTTGACCGAATCTGTTGGATGGGATAATGTCACAACCAAATCATCAGCAAAAGCTCTCAGCCTATAATCAATCTTACTTATTTTTATTCCTTTTAATCTAGATGAATCTCGAATTTTAATAAGTAAAATCTCCATTGTTAATACAAATAGCAAGGGGGATAAAGGACAACCCTGTCTTGTACCTTTTCCTATTTTAAATACGTCTGTTAATCCCCCATTAATTATAATTTGTGCCAATTGTTGTTGATAAATGGCCTTGAGAGCAGACAAGAATTTATCTCCAAAATTCATTTCCTCTACAACTTTCAATAGAAAATTCCAATCTAATTGATCAAAAGCTTTCTCAGCATCTATAAATATTAAAGCAGCAGGGATTTGGTTGTTCTTATCCAAATACTTTATAAAATTAACAATTTGTCTTACATTGTTTTTCATATATCTCCCCATTATAAATCCAGATTGGTCAGTATGAATCAATTGTTTCAAAACCTGCATTAATCTATTTGCCAGTATCTTTGCAAAAATCTTATAATCTATATTTAAAAGAGATATAGGCCTATAATTTCTAGGTTGGGACAGATCCTGGTCATCCTTTGGAATTAATGATATGAAGGCCGTTCTCCAAGATGGAGGTAATTCTGCTCCAGATAAAATATCATTAAAAAGTACCTTTAATGGTTCTATCATTTCTTCAGATAACATCTTGTAATAAATTGCTGTTAACCCATCAGTACCTGGAGTCTTACCAACCTTCAATTGTTTATCAAAAATAATCTCTTCAGTAGTAATTAAACCATTAATCCCATCACATTGATCACTCGTAAGTCTAGGAAAATGTGCTCCCTGTAAATATTTTTCTATATCTGAAATGTGTATACTTTCACTAGCATATAATTTAGAATAAAAATCTAAAAAAGACTTTTTAATCAAATTTTGTTGGTAGACTTCTTTACCTTTATAAATTATTTTATCTATAATCCTCGATTTCTGTTTCTTACGTAATTGATAAGCCAACCATTTACCAGGTTTATTTGCATTACAAAATGTATTATGTCTCACATACCTCAAATTAGTTGCCATTTGATCTGCTAATAACATATTAAATTACTCCTTCAACAAAGTAATAGAAACTTTTAACTTATTGTCCATTGGATTTGATATTAAAATCTTTTCCTTACATTTAATCTCATCTTCAAGATCTTTACGTTTCTGGGTCTGTTTACATCTGTAAGCATTGTTCATAGAAATCATATATGCTTTCCAAGAATCCCATACCATTGGCATCGAAGTGCCCTTATTCATATTCCAAGCAAAAAATTCCTTTAAATAACCTTTACATTGCTGTATATTCTCTTCATATCTAAATAAATTCTCATTCAACCTCCAAGTCCTTCTAGTTCTTTCTTCCGATGAAATTTCCAACCATACCGGACTGTGGTCTGAAATTATTCTAGGAAATATCTTGATATTCTTCACCCTAGAAAGGAAATCACTAGTAACCAAGAAAAAATCAATTCTAGAATAAGATTGGTGTCTATCCGAAAAAAAGTAAAGTCTTTTTCCTCAGTATTCCGTTCTCTCCAAATATCTCTAAGTTCCAAATCATCCTTTAAGTCAAAAAAAACTTTAGGAAGTCTTGCATGGTCAGAAACTTTAAAAGGACCCTTCTTATCTTTACTTGAGTCTAAAACACCATTCCAATCTCCCATCATAATAATTTCTGGTGAATCAACTTATAAAAATGTTTTTGTTGTTGATTGGGAGCATATAAACCAACAAGAAGAGTTCTCTTATCATTTATTAGTAAATCAATAATAACATATCTTCCTTGTAAGTCAAAATCAGTTAACTTCGGTGAAAGCTCCTTTCTCACATAGATAACTACTCCTCCTTTTTTCTGCAAAGCAGGAGCTATAAAATGTATCCCCAGCTGGGGATTAAACAAATATTTTTGATCTTTAGAAATAATATGAGTCTCTTGTAAACAAATAATATCATTTCTGTGTTGTTTCAAATAATGAAAGATTTTCTTTCTCTTCTGTGGTAAGTTAAGCCCATTAACATTCCAGGTTAGAAGCTTTGCCATCCTTGGCAGGATGAAGCCTTTGGAACAAAGCATCTAGATTTACAGTCGATGATCTCTTTGGCCTTGCTCCTCCCACCGGCTCCAAAATAGACTGTGGTAAACTTCCATCATCTGCCTTTTGTTGCTGTTGTTGTTGTTGTTGTTGTTGTTGTCTTTCTCTACATTTATAAGCAGCGCATGTAATTTTCTGTTCCCTTGGGTCTTCTGTTATTTGCAAATTCTGTTGCATAACTTCAACCAACAATTCTTCTCCCAAAGATGGCATTGAACCTACAGACAACTGTGCTTCTGCCTTGCTCTCATCTTTCTTTGATATTGGAAATGGTGGTGGACTTGCTTTTAAAATAGTAACATAAAAATCTCTTGCTTTTGAAACTGTATTAAGACGGTATCGTGTACCAGCGTAAGTCACCACCATACCCACAGGTATGTCCCATCTAAATTGAATTTGTCACTTCTTAAGTTCTTCAGCCAAAAAAGCAAAGTCTTTTCTTTTTCTAAGAATTTTAGAAGGTATTTCCTTTAAAACTATCACATCCTGAGCTGCAATCTGAAACCTTTGT